ACAGAGTAAAGATGTCAGCTCTCCCCCAAACTGGTCAATAGATTTAACATAATTTCAACCAAAATCCCAGTAGGATTTTGTTATTGTTGATACAGACAAGTTTATTTTAAAAATATATTTGAAAAGCAAAGAAATTAGAATAACCAAAAGAGTTTTTTAAAAAAGAAGAAAATTTGAGGACTCACACTATTTGATTTTTTTTTTTTTTTTATTCCTTACCTGAGGACATTTTTGCATTTATCTTCAGATAGAGTGGGAGGGAGAGAGTGAGGAAGAGAGAGAGAAAAACATCAATGTGAAAGAGACACATCAAGTGGTTGCCGCCAACATGACCCAACCCTGGGCTGGGGACAAACCGCAAACGAGGTACGTGCCCTTAGCAGGAACCAAACCAGGGCCTCTCTGGTCCATGGGCCAACGCTCTAACCGCTAAGCCAAACAGGCCAGGGCCACACTATCTGATTTTAAGATCTATGATAAAGCTACAGTAATCAAGACAATATACTTCTGGTAAAGAGGAAAACACATATATCAAACAATAAAGAATCCAACATTTGACCTACACGAAGGTGCAAAGGCAGCTCAATGGAGAAAGGATAGTCTTCAACAAATGAATTTGAAATGATTAGACACTGTATGAAAAAATATGAAACTCAAACCAAACCTCACACCTTATTAAAAAAATCACAGAAATAACTGAAAATGTTAAACTCTCAAACTTTAAAACATTAGAGAAAATCTCTGTGATCTGGAATTAGGCAGAGTTCTTAGACATGTCTGACACCAAAACAACAATCCATAAAGGAAAAATTGGTAAGTAACACTTCATCAAAATTAAAAACTTTGGCTCTGCAAAAGACATGTTTAAGAGAATGAAAAGACGCCCTGGCCGGTTTGGCTCAGCGGTTAGAGCGTCCGCCTGCGGACCGGAGAGACCTGGGTTCGGTTCCCGCTAAGGGCATGTACCTCGGTTGCAGTTTGTCCCCAGCCCTGGTTGGTCGTGCGGGTGGCAGCCACTCGATGTGTCCCTTTCACATCGATGTTTCCCTCTCTCTCTCTTCCTCTCTCTCCCTCCCACTCTGTCTGTACAAAAAATGGAAAAATGTCCTCGGATGAGGATTAAAAAAAAAAAAAAAAAGAGAATGAAAAGACAAGTTAGATTGGAAAAAATATTTACAAATCCATATCTGACAAAGGAGTTGTATCCAGAATATATAACAAATTATCAACATTCAACAGAAAGAAAAAACCCAATTTAAAAATGAGCAAGAGAATTGAATAGATCATTTTTTTGTTTTTGTTTTTTTTTATCCTCACCCGAGGATATTTTTCCATTTTTTGTACAGATAGAGTGGGAGGGAGAGAGAGGAAGGGAGAGAGAGTGAGAAACATCGACGTGAAGGGACACATCGAGTGGCTGCCACCCGCACGACCAACCAGGGCCGGGGACAAACTGCAACCGAAGTACGTGCCCTTAGCGGGAACCAAACCTGGGTCTCTCCGGACCACAGGCCGACACTCTAACCGCTGAGCCAAACTGGCCAGGGCTGAATAGATCATTTTTAACTAGAGGGTATGTGGAGGGCAACTTGGCACACAAAAGGATGCTCATCATCATTAACCATTGAAGAAATACAAATTAAAACCACACACCTATCAGAATCATTAAAATAAAAAATATTGACAGTACCAAATAGTGGTGAGGATACAGAGAAACTGGATCTCTCATAGTGAAATGCAAAAGATACAGACCCTCTGGAAGTTTGGTAGCTTTTTATAAAGTTAAATATAACTTTTACCATATGACTGAGCAAAAATCCCATTCCTAGGTAGATACTCTGAATGAAAATGTAATTTCACATAAAAACCTATACACAAATGTTTATAGCAGTTCTGTTCAAATTTGCCCCAAACTAGAAACCTAAATATTCTTCAACAAGTGAATGTAAAAAGAACAAATCTCAAACACATTACACTGGAAGAAGTCAGTCTCCAGATGTTGTATCCTCTATGAGTCTATGTATGTGACATTTTGGGCCCACATCCTGGGCATGTGCCCTGACCGGGAATTGAACCGGCGACCTCTTGGTGCATGGGTCGACCCTCAACCAGTGAGCCACACCAGCTGAGAATATGTGACATTTTGGAAAAGGCAAATCTATAGGGACAAAGAAGAGATCAGTGTTTGTCTGAGGTTGGCGTGAGGTGAAAGTTTAACTAAAAAAGGCAGCTTAAGGGGGATTTTTTTTGGTAATGGAACTCCTGTGTTCGGGCTTTGGAGGTAATTAGACAAATGTGATAAAACATACAGAACTGTACAAAAAAGTTAATTTAATGGTATGCTAATTTTAATTGTTTTAAAATGAAAACAAAATATATTCAAATAAATTTCTCTTTAAAAATGCTTTAGGCCCTGGCCAGTTTGGCTCAGCGGTTGGAGCGTCGACCTGCGGTCCCGAGAGGCCCGGGTTTGGTTCCCGCTAAGGGCGCGTGCCTCGGTTGCAGTTTGTCCCCGGCCCTGTTTGGTCGTGCGGGTGGCAGCCACTCGATGTGTCCCTTTCACATCGATGTTTCTCTCTCTCTCTCTCTCTCTCTCTCTCTGTGTTCCTGTCTCTCCCTCCCACTCTACCAGAACGAAAAAGGAAAAATGTCCTCGGGTGAGGATTAAAAAAAAAAAAATGCTTTAGAAGCCCGGCCTGTGTGGCTCAGTGGTTGAGCGTCAACCCATGCACCAAGAGGTCACCAGTTCGATTCCCAGTGAGGGCATATGCCCAGATTGTAGGCCAGATCCCCAGTAGGGGGCATGCAGGAGGCGGCCAATCGATGTTCTCTCTTATTGATGTTTCTCTCTCTCTCCCTCTCTCTCTCTAAAAATCAGTAAAGGGGGGAAAAAGTTAAAAAAAAGAAAATGTTTTTTTTAAAAAATGCTTTAGAAGAAATTTTCCAACAGGGTTTCTTCTAGAAAGGCTGTTTGTGAGGGCTCTGCCATACCAGCCCTGGTGTTTGTGGGTCTGTTTATTCAACTATAAAATGAGATCAGTCTAGAACATCGACTTTCCTTCTCCCCCCACCCTAAAATTACACCCCTGGGTACACCCTTTGTGGAAATGAGAGAAAGGGCATTTGGCTGGCACTGGGTTCTTGACCCACAGAGCAGTTGTACTTTTGTCTGTCCCATATATTATTTGCCTGGAAACCTCTGTATCAGAATAGCTGCTCTTGAGCCAGCTTCTCTGGCCTCTGGGGGGTTTGAATAATCCTGGATTTCAGGGCCTACTGGTGGGGCCCACTCATTTGTCCCTTTGGTATATGCCCCCGTGGACCCCAGTTGGTGAACTAGACCAGGGTACTGGCTCTAACGGTCAGTGATCTAAACAAGGACTTTTGAGGGAAGCTAGGAGTATGCCCCTTGCTTTAGGACACCCAGGTCACACACGGATTAAACACAATAACTCTGAAAAGGCTTTAAAGTCTAGGTGTCCTCTGAGGTAGGGTCTGAAAAGATTTAAGCCATTTTTTTCATACAGGATGACTTTTTGGGAGAACACTTGTGAACAGTAAAGGACTATACACAGATGGGGGAAATGCCATTATGAGGATGACTGTGCTGACTTGGACCAGCAGGGCCACAGCATCATTCATGACGAGAACTGCCACACTAAGCACCTACCATGTGCCGGGTATTGTGATAAGGAACTGTTGAATCTTTTTTTTTTTTTTTATCCTCACCCGAGGACATTTTTCCATTTTTTGTTCAGATAGAGTGGGAGAGAGAGAGAGAAACATCGTTGTGAAAGGGACACATTGAGTGGCTGCCACCCACACGACCAACCAGGGCCGGGGACAAACTGCAACCGAGGTACATGCCCTTAGCGGGAACCAAACCCAGGTTTCTCTGGATCATAGGCCGATGCTCTAACTGTTGAGCCAAACCGGCCAGGGCGGAACTGTTGAATCTTTATGTGATAGCCCTGGCCGGTTTGGCTCAGCGGTTAGAGCGTCGGCCTGCGGTCCGGGGAGACCCGGGTTCGGTTCCCGCTAAGGGCATGTGCCTCGGTTGCAGTTTGTCCCCGGCCCTGGTTGGTCGTGCGGGTGGCAGCCACTCGATGTGTCCCTTTCACGTCGATGTTTCTCTCTCTTCCTCTCTCTCCCTCCCACTCTATCTGTGCAAAAAATGGAAAAATGTCCTCTGGTGAGGATGAAAAAAAAAAAAAAGAATCTTTATGTAATAAAAGGTCTGTCAGTGCTTGGACATATGATGAAACAGGTTCAAAGAGGTCCAAGATCACTTGTGGAGGAGGTCAAAGGCTAGGTTCAGGTCTGCAGCTCCAGCCTTCTGAGCCAAGGCCTATCAGAGGAACCTGAGGCCTGATGTCAGGCCTTCTCTCCACAAGTTCCCTAGAGAAAACTAATGCCACCTTTCATCAAAGGCTGGTGGAGGATTGCCAAGGGCACTTTGAGACCTTATCATGTACAACAGCATTAAAAAAAAAGTTTAAAAAAATTTTATATGGTGGAATGCTTTCTTTGAAAATTATCCTATGCATAAATTCAATCCAGAAAACCAGAGTTGGGCCCTTGTGATTGAAAGTGGGAACAGGGTTGGCCCAGAGACCCTAGGGTTCTCAGAGCACTGCTGAAAGTCACTTATCCAGTAGGTTGGCACTTACTGTAAGAAGCCAAGGAGGTGCCATGATGCTTAAGGCTCTGGTTTTGGGTTTGAAAGAACAAGGTGGGATTGTGGCAGACTCATTCCTGGCTTAGTTGCTCTGGGGGAAGGCTACAGGATTCCAATGTTGCTACATGTTTTGGGCTCTGGTCCATTTGACCCAGGCACTACCTGCGTTACTCAGTCTCCCCTCTGACCAACAGCTATCACCTGTTACTCATAGAGTAGGAAACTTATCTTCACCATTTTACACTTAGTGAGTTTAATTTTTTAAAATAAGGATTACAAGATTAAAAGCTACAGCACTCTTCCTTTTTTATTGCTCTGATAAAAGGCATCATTTGGGTTTTTCTGTAGCACAAAAGTAGAATATTCAAGTTCAGATCTTAGTATAGGATCAGTGGCAGATCTGCACCTCTGACCCCGATGTAGGGGCTAGTGACAAGCTCACAGTGGAATCATTAAACGGACTTCCTTCTCATAGATGTCAGGGATCACTCCCATGGGGGAGTTGACCATGTGCACGGTGTTCTTGCCAAATAGCTGGAACTCATAGTGAATGAGCTGCTCCCAAAAGCCGCTGTTGGGCCGGATGATGGGCCGACATGACTTGGTCCATGTGTGGGCATCCAACAGGGACATGGCGTGGTACTTCATGAGGTAGGCGAGGCAGAGGGCAGCCGAGCGACTCACACCAGCCGCACAGTGGAGGAGTGTACGGCCCTGCTTCATCTCGACACTGTGGATGTGGTCAGCTATGGGGTCAAAGAATTCACAGAGACGTGACGTGGGTGTGTCAGCCACAGGCACCTGTACATACTGGATGTCTTCATATAAGGTATTCACCACTTCCACAGAGACATTGATGACTGTGGTGATCTGGTTGCTAGAAAGCATAAGTTTGTTGTTGGCGGCCACACCATTGCTGATATACAGACTACTGGTGATCTGTGAGAGGCCACTGATGGAGGGCTGTCGGAACTGAACCGGGAAGGTACATAGAGGTGCTGTCATCAGGCTGGTGTGTCAGCGGCCAGTGAGACATAAAGTCCTCATCTTTCTCTTAGGCAGTACCCATGAAAAACTGCAAGGAGAGAGAAAATGTTTAGAGGGCAGGAGCCCAGCTGGGCCAACCGCATGGTAGTTCTGGGAATGGATGGATGGCCTACAGCATGATTCCCCAAGGTGGTCCTCTGACTATCACAGTAGAATGACCCAGGGAACTTATTAAAAATGTACTGAGTTGAATCTGGGGTGAGGAACATGAATTTACATTTTCAGCTTCTCAGGAGACCTAATGTGCATTGTAGGACAAAGGACAACCTCCTGAGCCTGGTATTGAAGGCTTCCCTTGAGGGGCCCCACATTTTAAAATGCATTTTTTTTTAAATTGATTTTTTAGAGAGAAAGGAAGAGAAAGAGAGATAGGAACATTGATGTGAGAGAGAAACATGGATCGGCGGCTTCCTGCATGCCCCCCACTGGGGATCGAGGCCGAAACTCAGGCATGTGTCCAGACTGGGCATCGATCCAAGACCTCTCAGTCCATGGGACTATGCTCAATCCACTGAGCCACACTGGCTGGGCAAGGGGCCCTGCATTTTCAGTTGGGCAGGCTGACTTGTGTCCCGCTTCTGAGCCTTGGCCTAACTCTCCACCTAGGCTCACACAACCCTCTTCTTCTTTCTCTTCAATATTCTCTTTTTCCTTCCAGTCCCTCTATGTGGGAGCCACTCACATGGTCTCCCTCTTCTGACTTTATGCTCAAATCATGAGACTCTGAACCAGTGACATGAAACCAGAGCCCACTATGCTGGGAGTTACCGGTAGTGTAAGAGAGAGGAGGGTCTTTGCTTCCCCTGTCTTAGAACCATCTCTTTGAAGAGACAAAATGTGCCCATGTCCTACATCAATAGTCCTACATCATTAACCACGCTCCCGCACCTTGACTCTAAGGACAGCCTGGGAAAGAGAGTCACTGAAAGCTTCCTGGAGGCCAGCATAAGGGACATCATAGCACCTCCCCCACCCTCCCAGTGGCAAGTGCAAAGAGGCACAGAGGCTTCAGGTACAAGCCATACCAGCATGATGCTGTGTATAGCAGGACTGTGGCATGCACCCCAGACTGGGGCAGAACTCCCTGCCTTCTCCTAAGAAATCCCAAGTCCCTTACTCTCCCAGTCTTGAACAAAGCTGTAAAAATAGCACATCTTCATTTGTTTCACTGAAATAAGAGCTTTCAGATTTAAAGCACACTTCTCAAACCAAATGGCAGTCTTCATCTGGCACAAACATATAAGGAGCTGCAGTTCTGTCCCCTTGCTTAATATATTTCAGTGGCTGCCCACTGTCAGGATGAGATGGAGTCCCTTAGCTTAGCTGTCAAGGTCATTTACACCCTGGCTGCTGCCCATCTCTCTAGCCTCCTATTAGCTTTCCCTATGTCCTGAGGGACCTCAGCTGGGTTGAGCCACTTGCAGTTCCATATGGACATCTGGTCCTCTCTGACCTTTGCTGCTCTCAGTCCCTTTCCTTATAAGCTTGTCAGATCCTAAGCTGTTACATTCAGCAGAAGACTGGTAAGCCTGCAGACTTAGCCAAGATTTCCTGAGGGAAATCTCCCAGGATCACACCCTTCCCCTACATTTGATCAAGTCCCTACTCCAGGCTTTCTAAGCCTGATGTGCCCTCCTTCCTAACCCTTCCTGAAGATGTGGCTTTGCCTCAATCTGTGAATTGGGACATCACGTGTCTATCTTCACTCCTATGTGTAACCAGTGCCAAGCACTATGTCTCCACAAGTAGGTGCTTGGTAAATATTTGTTGAATGAGGGACTGTTTCCAATAACCATGGCTCTGCCTTCTGAGAAGTCTTCTGGAAAGGATGAGTTCTCTGGCTATGTTTCTGTAGAACTTAGGGAAGGGGCTGGGTGGAGGTGAGTGTGGTTCCTAGGCTGTTGGAGAGGAAGGACAAAGGCGGCATAGGCATATCCTACCTGCCAATACCCCAGAATCAAATGCATCAGGCTCACCTCAGGAAGGGCAGATGGGGCTGGTTTGTTCTTTTTTTTTTTTTTCCCTCATCCGAGGATATTTGTCTATTTATTTTCAGATAGAGTGGGAGGGACGGAGAGAGAGAGAAACATCAATGTGAGAGGGATACATTGACTGGTTGCCTCCCGCACAACCCCAACCAGGGCTGGGGACGAATCAAGGTATGTGCCCTTGACCAGAATCAAACCCACAACTCATTGGTCTCTGGGCCAACACTAACTGCTGAGCCAAACTAGCCAGGGCAAGGGGCTGGTTTGTTCTGAAGGTCATGTGAAGGCAAGGAAAAAGCCTTCCTCTCCTAACCTAGTTGAAAGCCTCAATGTTCTGGATCCTCCTCATCCAAAAACCCAGAGAGAAGTGAACTGAACTCATTCTCCCACTTAGTTAGTGCCCAGTAGACCACAGAAATAGGGAAGACTGCTGTTCATCACAGTGACAAGAAGTTTCAGAGAAGACCTGCTCTTAAAGGTGAGGGTAGCCCTGGCCCGTTTGGCTCAGCGGTTAAAGCATCGGCTTGCCGTCCAAAGAGACCCTGGTTTGGTTCCCGCTAAGGGCATGTACCTTGGTTGCAGTTTGTCCCCAGCCCTGATTGGGTCATGCAGAAGGCAGCCGCTCGATGTGTCCCTTTCACGTCGATGGATGTGTCCCTTTCACGTCGATGTTTCTCTCTCTCTCTCCCTTCCACTCTATCTGAACAAAAAATGGAAAAATGTCCTCGGGTGAGGATAAAAAAAAAAAAGGTGAGGGTAGTGATAGGAGGAGAGTCATTTTCATTAGGTGTTGGGGATACTGCAATGTGCAAGAGAACAATGGCCCCCTCTCTCACAGAGCTCACAGTCTAGTGGGAGACAGACAATAAACAGGCAATTACAGGTGCAACAGAGTTGGAAAATGGGGATAACAGTGCCTACCTTACAAGGATCATCTGATGATTAAATGAGGTAACCCAGGTAAAGTATTTAACACAGGGCCTGGCTTAGAGTGAGCCCTCTAGAAACAATACTTTTTGTTTTTGTTGGGGAAGTTAACATGCAGGGCATTAAGGAAGTGAAGCCCAAAGAGATTTACTTCCAGGGCTAGGACGTTGCAAGGATCACCTGAAGAAATGACACAAAGATCTGTAGAACGTTTAGAGGGATAGGGAGGGAGGTGGAGAAACAGCAACTCCACTGCCTCTCAGTCTCACTGTTTTATAGCCTACAAAGCTTTTGGCTTCCCTCATCTGGTTCAGTCTTCAAAGCAACATAATAGGCCCATGTCTGGAGTTAATATCTACATTTTTCACACGGGGAAAGTGTGACAGAGGGGGAAAGGACCTCTCTAGGGTCAGAAAGCAAGGTCCGAAAGCCGGTCTTTCCGGTTTCATTCATTATGTGTGGGGCAAGTCGGCAAACACCGCGGGGCGTTTGTTAATCCTGGGTTATAGATTATAGACGAGGAACGAAGTTCACCGGTTGACAGGAGCGAGGCTATCGGCTGACTTCCAGGGCAGAGCCAGATAGTTTCCTAGAAAGTTGCATTATAATGGGATTCTTCATCTGTTGGGTATCAAGACCCAGGTGGTCTTACCTCTCCCGCGAGAGCGAGGGCCCGTTTTTTCATGAAGCAACTGTGCCCGAAGTCTCGTACCAGGGTCTCAGGGAGAGAGAAGACCGATCACGACCCGGGAGCCACGATCCACCGCGGCCCGGCGGTCTGGTCTTGTCGCGGGGAGAAATCCGCCGTACTAAGCCTTCGGAGAAACCCTGGCTTCGTCTCCCCGCCCTGACTCACCCGGTTGCCAGCCCCACGATCACTCGGGGCCACAGCAGCCCTAGTGGAGAAGTAGGGTCCGCTCAACGCGCGCAGCCCACTCCACAGGCCCAGCTCGTCTCCATGGCAACGCGCGGGCTCGCACAACGGCAGCCGCTGAGGAACAATCCAGCCCCGCCCACAGCCTTCCCGGCACCGAGCGCGTCGGGTCCTCCCGGTCCCGCCCCCTTCACTTGTCACCGGGGCAACGAGCCGAGCTCAACTCTTTGTGTCTGCGCAGGGACTCACTCCACGTTCGCGCGCGCTCACGCAGCATGGCCGACATTCCTGTTCCTAATCCCGAGCCGTCCCCAAGTGTAGAGAACGGGGTTACCCAGCAGCATAGGCCCTCGGTCACCTGGAATTTAAGTTCGCCCAAGGTCAATCCGGCCGCCACCAAGAGGATCACCAGTTCTGGCACTTACCCTGCCTCAGCCGTTTTCCGGCGTCATAGGCTCGGCAGCCGCCCCGAAATCAACTTAGGGAGTCAGCCGCAGATCTGCTTCCTGCAGCCGCGGACCTCGCAGCCGATGGTGCTCTTCAGGTGCGGTCCGCGTGCCCAGAGCGTCGTCAGACACCGGGGCCCTTGAAGCCCGAACTCCCTCAGACCCCCGCTCCCTCAGCTGGCCCCGACACCCTGGCTCTGGCCCTCCGAGGGTCCGGCCCTTTCCTAGACCCCGAGAGTCTGGATTCCTCACAGTCCTGGAGGCCAGCTCTTCGAAACGCCAGGGAATCCCCTCAGCCCAGACTCCGGGGAGAAAACCGAAATCCCACCTCCGACGCACAGATCCACCGCATCGTCCCAGCCCTGTAGTCTCCCAGGCTTGACGTCGTGTAGCCCGGGGTCCCCAGCGCCCTTGTGCTGAGACTTGAACTTCCTTAGAGCCTGGCGAGGCGCAGGTCCTCTCAGGCCTGACTCACCTCACCTCAGCTTCTACGTTCCCCAGTGGCCCTGGGAAAACCCCCAGTTCCCTCAGCGCGGCCCCAGTCCCCGTAGACACCAATCTCCCCTCCTACTTGCGTCTCACACCCCTGCCAGCGTTCTCCAAGCTCCCACAGAGGCCCTGCTTTGGAAACGATTTGGTTAAAAATGACCATTTGTTACTTAAAATATTTCCAGTCGCTGTCTTTTTGCTTTTCTTCCCAGGAAGTATTGGTAAATTTGGTGTACCACTGAATGTGGTTTTTTTTTTGTTTTTGTTTTTGTTTTTTAAAACAGCATTTGGGGGACTTTTGTATGTGAGCATCTTGATCCCTCTGTGAGCATCCTTTTTCTTTTCTTTTTTTATCCTCACCCCAAGGACATTTTTTTTTTTCCTTTTTTTCTTCAGATAGAGTGAGAGGGAGGGAGGGAGGGAGGGAGAGAGAGAGAGAGAGAGAGAGAAACATCGCGGTGAAAGAGACACATTGAGTGGCTGCCACCGGCAGGACCAACCTGCAACCAAGGTACTGGGCCCTTAGCAGGAGCCGAACCCGGGTCTCTCTGGACCGCCGGCCGATGCTCTAACGGCTGAGCCAAACAGAGCCTCCTTTTTCATCACCTCATCATCTCATGTCTTTGCTGTCAGAAAAATGTGAATGGGAGATTGGGGCTATTTATTTCTATTAGTTTGTGAATGTAAAAACATTCATAAAACCATGGTTCCAAATTGGCTGAAATGAATTAGAAACAGTTTTTTTTTTCATTCTTCAAAATGTTTCCTTTAAAAAGTGTCTTTTTTGTTCTATGAAAGTAGTATTTCACTTAGAAAAATCAGGCAAGACAGACAAGCAAAATGAATGGCCAGAAACAGTCACTGTTAACATGTTGGTGTACTGTATATTATTCCAGATTCATATATATATGTATGCATAACAACATGCTTACACATTGGGGAGGAGGTGAGATGTCACCAAAAAGTTCACTATTTTGTAGCCTGCTTTTCTCTCACCTAATACACCATGAATGTCTGTTTTATTCATACCTGGAGAGTATTTTATTGTATGAGCTAGCCACAATTTATTCAATTGCTTCCCTGCTGTACATTTAGTTTCCAAGTTTTAGAAAGAAAATAAGAGCAATTATTTTGAAGTGGGCAAAACATTTAAAGATAAGTAATTGCAAAATCACTTCATGGTTTAACCACATTATTAAAAAGTGAAAACTCAGTGCCTGGTATATCCATTTTTAACCAATTCTTCATTTTGACCAAATTGTTATCTCTAGTTTCAGCTGGCTCCATTTCACTCCACCCTACACCATCCTCTACCTCTCACTCTCCAGATTCTCCTCAAACATTTGTCCATCTCATACTTCCCTCACTTTGACTTTTTCCAAACTCTTTCCTATTAAGCAATCTAACCTCTGTCCAAACTCTTTTCTTTTTCCCTGCTTCCTCTGACCCCTCCCCATAAGACCCCTCTTAGATCTAGGCTCTGGAGTAAATGCCCCCACTTCAGATCCCCTCAAATTTAGCCCTTCAAACCCTATCCTACAACTTTTGCTCCTCTTCTGTTTCCCACTTCCCATTTTATCCTGCGTTTTCTCCTTAAGATGGTTACTTCAAGAGACAGTTCTGAGTCCTTGTTGACACTTCTTTTGTGGACTGCTCTTCCTACATCCTTCTCAGCATGGCTTTTTCTCTCAGCATTCAAGAAACTACCCCTTAATGCACATTTTCCACAAGAAGAAACCTAGGCCTCCCCTATTCCTCTGGCAATTATGACAGAACTGCGCCTCTCCAAAAAAACAAAAAACAAAAAACAGGAGGTCTCAGCCACTATCCCAGGACCCTATCATATTAGGCCCTGTTCTAGCCCTGACCCCAGCCATCTCAACCTGAACCACCTTCCTCTGTCCCCTGCAGCTTAATGAATTCCAGTGAAGCAGCTGTGACAAAATTTTTACCCAAGAGCCACTTATCTCGTGTGATTATTCGTGACAACCTCAGTGCACAACGAATCTATGAGCTGGAGGTAAAGTCCTCACAGGCTTTTGAGTTAGAGGGCGCTAGTGGCTTGACCTATGTTCACTTCACTCTCTCTGATAACTTGGGGAAGTTCACAGATCTTAGAGGGGATAGGGAGCCACCAAGATGCTCTAATGCCAGTCCCATTTTATAGAGGAGACTGAAATTGTGGGTTACTGATTTGCCTACGGTGTCACAGATGTTCCTGTGCCAAGGGAGCTTGGGAAAAGGATTTCATGCTTTGGTTCTGTGGCGTTTCTTCCCCCCTGAAAACATATTACCTTTCTATTTGGGTAATCCATCAATGGATTCCTACTATCTCCCATAAAAAGAAGTCGTGGTCCTGGCCAGTGTGGCTCAGTTGGTTGAGTGTTGTTCCATAGGTTCAATTTCCTGTCAGGGCACAGGCCCGGATTGCAGGCTTTCAATCTCCAGTAGGGAATGTGCAAGAGGCAGCAAATCGATGATTCTCTCTCATTGATGTTTCTATCTCTCCCTCTCCCTCTTTCTATAAAATCAATAAAAACATACATATTTTTTTAAAAAGTCATGGGTCTTAGAGCTTGAAGTGGTATTAACACAGTTTGGTCAGTTTTTTTCCTTTAGGGATTATCCCCCATTTTTCATATGAGAATTGAAGCTCTTCTGCTTTTTGCTCATGGACAACTAGGGTTTGACTTATCTAAAAGTCATCAGAAAAGAGGAGGGAAACCACAGTGCCATCACCCCACAGACTCTGATTGATTAATTCATGAAATGTATCTTTAGGGTCTGCTTGGGACAGGTACTGTTTTGGGGAATGGGAAGAAACTAGAATATGGTGGATTCTGAAAATGTACTAATTTCTTCAAGCAGAGCAGGCATCCCAGAATTGAGCTCCTGCCTCATTCTTGACTCTGTTGAGCTTCCCTCCATATTCTAAGGCCAGATCTGGGTGGGTCCATGGGATTCTGACACTGAAAAGAGAAGAAGGCTTAAGAGATGGTGCCAGATCCTCCTAAGGGACACAGAAACCAAAAGAAGAGTAGAAGCCTAGGTGTTTCTCCCTCTGCTAAACTTCCAATGACCTGCTAAAGTAGATACAGGATGGATTTGGAGATGGGCAAGCCAGCTTCGTGTGACTTTGGGAAATCACATTTCCTTCAGTACTCTCTTTTCTCCTTTATACTTTATAAAACAGGACCTATTAGGATTCTCTGAGTTGCAGGTGATACAAACTGAACTTGAACTAGTTCAAGCAAAATAGAGAACCACGAGTTTACATAATCAAGGACAGATAGTGCAGGGTCACCAGTATTTGGGTTGAAAAAAGCCAGGGGCTCCCAAACCATTGGATGTGTCTTCCACTCTCCCTCTTCATCTCTTTTTCTGCTTCTTTCTGCATGTTGGCATCATCATCAGGCTGGCTGTTCCTGGGAGCGTGGCCACAGGAAACTCTGGCTTGTAGCTCTGAAAGGAAATGTAGTACTTCCACTATTGCTCAAGTTAGACAAATCCTGGAAAAAGACTCCAGATGGCCTAGGTTGGACCATGGGCCCATCCCTGCACTAATCACTGTGGCCAGGTGGTATGGGCTTTTCTGACTGGCCCAAGAGGGGCTAAGTTCAATTCCTATAACCAGTGGGTGGAGGATGTTGTAGCTCTGGCAAGCGGGGTGAATGTCTGTCTCTAAGATACTGTAAATGGAAACTCTCCCAAGTTTTATATGTATCAGAGTGCTGTGCCATCCTCCAGCAATCCAGAAATTCTCCTTTTAAAGCTGTCTTGAGCCTTTATGTATTTTAGGTACTCAATATCCAGTATGTATTATTACCCCCATTTAATAGTTCAGAAACCAAGGCTCAGAGAGATGGAGTAACTTCACTAAGGTCACAGAGTGCATCATTGTGAAGTTGCAAACCTGGGTCTGACTGACCACGGTGTGTTGAGGGTCCAGCTTGTAGGAACTCAGTGGGTTTGAAGCCTAAATAGCAGTGTGGCAGTGTTTCCATCTTTCCCCCAAAAGTGCTCACTTTAGGGGGAGAGGCATCTTTGACTAGTCACTGATTTCCCATGACCTCAAGGAGGACAGCTAAGATCCAATGTCTTGAGAATCTTATGAGCACACTCTAAGAACAGTGATGGCGGATAGCTCTTCATCTATGGCCATGGTTCTCAACTGGGGATGGTTTTGCCCCTCAGAGGACATTGGCAATGTCTGAAGACATTTTTGGAAGCACAAGCGAGAGAGGGGTGGGTGTTACTGGCATTTAGTAGGTAGAGTCCAGGGATGCACAGGACAACTCCCCACCACAAAGAATTACCTAGTCCTAAGTGTCAATAGTGTCAAGGTTAAGAGACCCTGATCCATAGTAAAAGTCAAGCTCAAGGTAAAATCACGAGCTTAGAGAGGCTAAAAAACCTGCTGCCATGGGGGTACACTAGAAGATAGTAATACAAAGCAGCCATTTAACTTCTCAATGACTGTATCAGCATCATCTCAGGTAAATGATAAAAATACAAATTCCTGGGCTCCACCCAAACTCTACTAAGCTAGAAAAAAAAAAAAAAAAAAAAATATATATATATATATATATATATATATATATATATATATATTTTTAATCCTCACCCAAGAATATTTTTTCCCCATTGATTTTCAGATAGAGTGGGAGGGAGGGAGGGGGAGAGAAAGAGAAAGAGAGAAACATCAATGTGAGAGAGACACATCGATTGGTTGCCTCCCACATGACCTAATCAGGTCTGGGGATCGAACCGTAACCGAGGTATGTGCCCTTGACCGGAATTGAATCTGTGACTCTTTGGTCCGTGGACCAATGCTCTAACAGCTGAGCTAAACCAGCCAGGGCTATATTTTTATCAAGTAACTGAAAGTTTACTGATGCTCAGCCACTGATTTGAACTATGTCTTTTGGTGTTCGTATTTTCTGCCACCTACCCTCTGTATCCTTTGTCCCCAAGATCCACTCAAGCACTAACTTCCTGCTTCAAATAATTATGGCAATATTGATTGGCCTTATGAAGCTCTCCTTTGCTTACATTGTGTATATTTTGAGACAATGTCAGTGCTTAGAATCCCCAGGAGTGTTTATTAAGGTGTGGACTGTCAGGATTACCTCCCGCCTGGTTCTGTTTTAACATGCCCAACACTTCCCATCCTTCAAAACCCAACCCCTAATATTTATGGCAACTTTCCATGAGACTTTACTTGCTATCTCCCATCTTTGAACAATGTTTTTTTTTCCCTCACCCGAGGATATTTTTCCATTTTTTGTACAGATAGAGTGGGAGGGAGAGAGAGGAAGGGAGAGAGAGAGAGAAACATCGACGTTAAGGGACACATCGAGTGGCTGCCACCCGCACAACCAACCAGGGCCGGGGACAAACTGCAACCGAAGTACGTGCCCTTAGCGGGAACCGAACCCGGGTCTCTCCGGACCGCAGGCCGACGCTCTAACCGCTGAGCCAAACTGGCCAGGGCTGAACTCTGTTTTTTAAAGGGATGTATCACTCTCTGCCTTGCTTAGAAATATTTGGGCAGGTGTCCCATCTTCATGACTATGTTGTAATTTCTGTGAAGACATGTAGCTAATTTTTCTTTCTATCCTCTCCGCAGCTAGCTCACTGAAATAAATAAATGAACAAGTAAGGGAGGGTGTGCCTTCCCAGAGCATATAGTCTTATTGAGGACAGGACAATAATGATGTAATAGAAGAAAGAACTAGAGTTCAATGTGATGTAGAGGATGTCACAATATGTGGGAAGCACTAAATAAGTAATAGGGACAGGGTGATATGAGTTAAAGAATAGGAAGGGGAAGGAACGAGATGTACCCTTTCTCCATGCCCTTCTCTACCTTTTCTGATCAGTCTTCAAACAGAAGTGGTAAGGTCAAAATCAGGGTCCCAGGCTGCACTTACAGAAGGTACCATAGGAGTTATCTAACTCAACACCCACATTTACAAGTAGGGAAACTAGGGCTTCCTGTGAGTCAAATGATTTATGGAATATTTGGTCCAGCTTATACATATTCACCCCTATATCAGCAGCATAGATGCCACTCTTGTTATGAATTAGTTTCTTCATCCTAACCTCATTTGTTTTTCTGTAAGATGAAAGCTTCAGAAAAGACCAAGAAAAAGATGAGTCATTTGTATGATCACCTGAAAAAAAAGTTCATGACGGACCAGCTCAGAAAGCTGGGGCGCTGGAGACGGGAATCCACGAATATCCGGCAGTACCTGGATAGTATCCGGAATGCAAGATTGCTCCATCCTAAAAGGAAAAGCCAGACACCATAGTCCAGGCAGATGATCTACTCCAGGGCCATGACAATGCTAGACTGACAGGAGGAGAAGCCATAGAAGCTAGCCAGCCAACACCATTGCAGAACAACAATAAACTGAGACCAGCAGAGAGTGGAGTACAAAAACCCTAGCAATTCTAATATTCTTTGCCCTGCCCCATTCCCTCTGCTCTGGTGAAGGAGAGCCTGATAGTGACCCTGGCTGCCTGAGTGGAGGAGGCTTAAGTAAGGCAGCTTTCATGTCTGAGCTGAAATACAAGGCCAGGTGCACTGGGTACCTCAGATGGGAACGGCTCAATAATGACTAGCATTCATTCCAATGGTAAGAGGTCAGGGTGGGCACCAGACAGACTTGGATCAAGTGCTGTTTCTCCATCAGCTGTGTGACTGTAAACTCTCTGAACCTCTGTTTTCTTATCTGAAAGAATGGTGGAGTAGCAAGGGAACTTACTTCTAAGAACTGGCACGAGAATGTGGTGTGCCTGCCCCAGGGCCTTTCATTTCCAATGGCTCTCATCACGACAGCTCCACTTGGTTTCAAACCTTGCCAATCCACACTCCCTGGGCTGCCTGCTGTCCCAACTACACCCTATAGCCACCCCCACCCACACTGTGCCTTTACTTGTGCAGGTCCCTTATCTAGAATGCCTCTTCAGCCCTCCAGGGCTTTCAGGAAACTTCATCCTTCAAGGTGTATCTCAATGCTAGTTCCCCTGTAAAGCTTCTTTGATCTCTGCCTCCTGCCTACCCCTTAGTCCACCCTGCCTAAACCACATGGGTTTTCCCTCCCCTCTGAACTTGGAATACCTGTGGTGGCTTCACTCTGCCTTGTGTGGTAGCTGTGTGGGTACTTCTTCCAAACTTCTGATTAGATTGTACAATACAGTCTTTGAGAGCAGGGACCAAAGATCCTCCAAGATCTAATTCAGGCCTCTTCTGTGACACTTCCCACACGTTGTCCCAGGAGAAAAGGCTACTTTCCTGTGCCCACCTCTGTCTGCACCAAGCATGTGGTTGGCCATTTCACGTTTGCTCCCTGTTTCCCTGACCACATTATGATTGTTTTAATGGCAGAGATGCTGACTTGTTCAACTCTGTAACTACAGTGCCTAGTAAACAGGGTAATCAATGTTTTTTGAATAAATTACTATCTTATTTCTTTTTCCATTATAGCTCAGCACAGTCCACAGAGTAAGATCCGGGTACATATTTTTCAAGTTAACCAAGTCCCCTCATTTTACAGATGAGGAAACAGAGGCCCTGAAAGGTGACCTGTCTTGCCCAACATCACACAGCAAATTAGTGGCAGAGAACCAGAAGCAGGTTTCCTGACTGCTGTGGAGTGGTCATTCTGTATCGCCACAGCTGCTAGGTAAGGACCTCAGTTCTCTTGGTGGCTTTTGGAAGTCTTCAATACCTGTCCTCATCCTCATTACACCCTTTCAGCATTGCTGCCTGGCCATTCAGCAGGCTTTCCTTTAAGTTTGATCTCAGCGATCTCCCAGCCCAGGGGCAGGGAGCCAGATGTTCATGATGTTTCTGTTTTCCCTCTTTATGTTTGTTTTTTGAGAATTAGCTTGCTACTTTTCGTGGGAGCCAAAAGGTTCAGTAGAACACTTTTCTAGGTTCTTGTCTGTTTTCTTGGCTGAGCACAACTGATTAGAATAATTGACTTCATATACTTAAATTTTGTTATACAAGCAATTTGACCAATTGCCCAAACAAAACAAAATAAAACAGAACAAAACAAAACAAAAACTTCTATTAGATCAACCGCTGCTAGCATTTTGGTGTATTTCTTATATTTGGTGTATTTATTTCAACAATAGTCTTTTTCTTTGGCACTATTCCTAGAAAGGGGAAGGCTTTGGGGATCCTAGAGTCTTAGGAAGGCCAACAGAGCAGCCCCAGCCTTCTTTTCTCCAAACCATCCCCAGGAACTCTCTATTTCCTAGATCTCCTAGGTCTCTCTCAGCCTTAACGCTGGTCTAGTCACCAGCCACATGCACCCTTCTCCCCTGGGTGGCTGGCCTTAGCTGAGAGTCTTTGCATCTCATGCTGTGGCCCAAAGGACTGGAGACTCCTGATAGTGGAGTGGGTGGGGAGTTGGTATGTCAATCTAATGAGTTGCTTTATAAGCCACTAACTTACCTCTGATTGCATGGACTTAGTCTTTCATTTTTGCATTATAAACCAGAGGATGTTGCATTTAAGTAGGGAACAAGAAGTGATAAAATTCTGGAGAGGCCACTTTGTTACTGGAGGGAAAAAGATTTAAGGGAAGGAAAATCAATGAGGGAAGAATGGAGAGGTGTTGGCTGGGAAGATATTGTTTGAGAAATAGAAACTTGAAGCCTGATATTCTTTAGTTCAGTGGATATACACCCACACCTGGGACTCTTAGTTTAAATGAAATCTCACCTAGAAGCCCATTCAAGTAATCAGAACCATTGGCATATTAATGTTTACTGAACTCTCATATGCCAGGCACAGCTCTTTTCAAACATGATTCATTGAATCTTTCCAACAACAAAGTAGGTAAATAGGTAATTTTATTACCCCTGCTTTATAGATGACAAATTAAGGCTCAGAGAGTAAGAATCCTGCCTAAGGCTGGGCAGCTAATAAGTAACAAAGCCCACTTCAAGCCTGTCTCACTCCAAAGACCTTCTCCTAACAACCATGTGATAAGCTCCCCATCTTTTTTTTATCCTCACCTGAGGACAATTTTGCATTTGTCTTCAGATAGAGTGGAAGGGAGAGAGGGAGGAAGAGAGAGAGAGAAACATCGATGTGAGAGAGACACATCGACTGGTTGCTACCCACACGACCCCAGCCGTGGCCGGGGACAAATTGCAGCTGAGGTACGTGCCCTTAGTGGGAACCAAACCCAAGACTCTCTGGTCTGCAGGCCGATGCTCTAATCACTGAGCCAAACCGGCCAGGGCTAAGCTCCCTATCTTTATCACTCTTGTTGGAAGTGGAGGGCCTGGGACATGGAGCTCTCTGGAACGTGATTTCACAGACGGTGTTGTGGGAACCTCAGCTGTAATATCAGTTACCTGAGGTCGGCTATTTAGCAGAGAGCTGGACTGAAACTCAGATCTTCCTTCTACTAGGTGGCTAAGAAGAACTTGTCACCCATTCTGGGATGAATAGGCTGTTAGGGAGAGTTAGGCTAGACTCTCAGAGATGCGGCTAAGGGAGATGTTCACTCCAGAAGTGGAAGAATGGGACACAGGAGTCTTGACCACTGCCTATTAGCTGTGAAAGATGTTCTGTTTTTCCCTCAGGAATTCTTTGTGGAATAGCCTTCAGGTCTGAAGAACTGTGCTGATGGCAGGGGACAGATGAATGATATTCTCTTTTAAAGGGATCAACTATTTTTGAGAATACCTTTAATTTTTGCTGAAAATACATTTCATTCCCTCCTCCCCATTACCAAATGCATGTCACTACTTTAGAGTTACTTGGAAAAACTTCCCAGTTTAAAAACCTTGCTGGGTACACAGTGAGCCTTGGTCCTTCCCTCTTCATAATTTCTCCATGACCTGGTACCAAAGGAGGGAATTCTATTTACTGGGCTGTTACATGCAAGGTATTTTATATCTTACCTCATTCAGTCCTCACAACAGTTGTCAAGTATCATGCGCATCCTTCAGGTGAGAAAGGCACAGAAAGGCTAAGGAATGTGCTCAGAGTCACTAGGTTTGAACCAGCCACCCCGGTGATCCTCAGCTTTATTGTGAACACCAAACTTAATTTGAGCCATTGTTGGCCATAGGAATGCTCTGTGAGGGTTGCCCATGTCTCAGGTCTCCTGTTTATGTCCCCTGACTTTTTCCTATGCTACTGCTGTTGACTGCAGTGGTCAGTCACATGGCAGGAAAGAAGTGGGCAGGTCCCAGCTCCAGGCTGTCAGGTGGGGCAGTAGCTTTGGAACCCCAGTAGATGGATATGGAGTAGCCTTCTAAGGGGCTAAACAGCTGGAATTATAGAGGCAGCTGGTTAAGGAGCAGGGGAGGCAGGTAGCTGCTCCATTTGCAGCCAAGAGTGACCCCGGAGTTCTTACATACTCACCCCATCCATCTGTCCATCAATCCATCCATCCAGCTATCCACTCACTATCCATATGTCCATGTGGCCCTTCAGCACACAATCAGAACACAAAGGCAGAGGAAGTGATTTTCTTGTTTGTTGTAACACCTCTCTTTTTTCCTGATTGGTGTGGGTGGAAGTGGGATGACCTACCAACTGGGAGTACCTCTGACCTTGGTCAAGTTATGTCTCTACTCTGAGAGTGTGGGGAACTGGAAAAACCTTAGAGCTGCCTTGTGCAGGCCACCTCTCCTATTTCACCAACAGATAACTGAGGTAGGGATTGGGGAATTTACTTGCCGTGGTCAGATAAGGAATTAGTGGTAGATTTGGGACTGCATCCTAGGGTACTGTGACTCTTTCGTAAAGTGGGAATAGGAATCCTAGCTCTCCTCTCCTCCCCCCCCCCCCCCACACACACACCCTTAGGATTGTAGGGAGGATGCCATGAGGTAACTGCTGGGAAAGTGCTTTGAAAAGTGAGGTCATCAGGCAAGAACACCCTAGAGGTGTAACCCAACCCAGGCTGGGCCAGACAGATCCCACAATGACCACAAGGGGTCAGCAGATGCTCTAGTGCTCAGCTAGGATCTGCTGGAAGGCACTTGCCAGTGTGTCCAGGATTTGGGAGGGAAGCCAAGTTATTAAACTCCTGGGGACCCCAATCTCAAACAAGAGGCAGGGGCACATCCTGGCCCAGCCCCCTGTTGAATCAGGAAATGTTACTCTGAATATATACAATTCAGAGCCTTGTCCAGCTGCTGACTTTGGAACTCTGCAAGACAGAGGGAACAGAGAGCACAGACCTTGGACTGGGATCCCCTACCTCCCCCAGTAACTTTCCTCTGGGCTTTAGCGCTCCTTCCTGCAACTGGGGTGGGTGTTGGTGGCTGATCTCTGCATCTCCTTT